GGCGTGGGAGAAATGGACAGCGCGATCCCCTGATCTCATGTCATTAGATTTTTACCGGTTTCATGAAGATATGCAGTATATGCAAATCTCAACCCCTGACATATTCAGTAACATTAGAAAAATTAGAAAAAATTCCATTTCAGAATGGGATGTTGCCAAGATGTTCGTAGTGAGCATTTTGAACGTTTTCTCATTCACAATTATATTTCTTTTGTTTTGCACATTACCAAGAAATAAATGCATCACTCATCAGTTTCTGAGTGCCTTCAGTGAATTTATGTAAACAAATTATTTAATTCTTTAATGTCAATTTGAAAACAATTGAAGATACGCGAAGGACATTGTACATAAAATATGTCTAGAATACCGTATGACACAGACTTAGAGTACACCCCTTTTTTCATTTCTTTAGCTATTTTCACGAAAATCAAAATACTGATGGGAGTTTTCTTAACCACCGGTTTTTCCGGAAATGCCATGAACGTTCAATTTTCAAATGAAACACAATGATATTACAATCTTGAAATGTACGGATTGGAATACATGTTTCTGTCAGGTGACTTAGAATATCACTTCTTGTGTTTTGGTACTTTTCCACACTAATTTCCACACCTTCTGCAAGTAAAAAAGGAAAAATTTCTCAACAACGCTGAAGGTGAATGTTTTCGAGATATTTACAACTTTCTTTATCGATCCATATTACTTAGCTCCTAGGAAGCTAAGTAAAGTTGCTGAGAACATTACAGAAACTAAGTATGTAGTGGATCTCTTCAAAATAAACAACTTTCATCCATTAGATTTGTATCGAAACATTATTCGTTTTCGAGATACAAATAACTAAAATTAGAAAAAACTTATGACAAAACCAACTACGTTTTGAAAAATGTCAACAATCTGTATCTCAAAATCGAACAATTTTTCGATAAGTATTCTATAGAAAAAAGTTTTTGATTTGACGAGATCCACCACATACTTGGTTTTTGTAATATTCTCAGCAACTTCACTCAGCGCCCTAGAAGCTAAGTGTATGCATCGATATAAAAAATTGTAAATATCTCGAAAACAATTATTTCCAGCATTCTTGATGAAGTGTAACTTTTTTACTAGGAAAAGGTGTGTGAATTAGGTTTCTTCATAAAAAGTACCAAAAGTTTACTGTCAAAAACTTTTCAATCATTTTCGGTTAAGACAGAGGGACAAATGATACACGACTGAGTTCGGGATGGCGTCCTGAGACATCAGTGCCGATTTTCTCGGTGAACCCCTGCCTGGCTCGGGTGAGTAGATGAGGAAATTATTCATCCGTTAATGCGGGACATGAGGGCCTCATTCAACAGAGTGTCAGGGCCTTCTGTATCGAGAGGGATCGTGTGCAGCATAATCTATAGCTTCCCTAACTATCGAATTATTGTTAGTTTCCGCGCAATCGAAAACTCGCCGATTCCTCGACTGAATGTTCTGCTGAATGGAAAGCAGCTGCAAATCTCTGCGGATGGCTTCATATCACACGAACCACGGAACATTCACAATCATCCGTATTGACTTTCTGAAGTTTCACCAAAATGGAGATATTGCTCGGAGTCGCTTGTTCTCAAAATCCCTAAACGTACATGATGACAGGCTTGAACATCGGGTTATACAGCGTAATTTTGTTTTTGAGACTCATTTGGATCTCCTGTTGATCAGAGGAAACAGACTTTTGATCCGACCCTCGATCTTTGCCTTTAGGGATTCGAAGTGCGGTTTCCAGGTGAGCAGACGGTCTATTAGAAGACTGAGGTACTTTACCCGCGCTTGCTAGTCAATCTCTTTTCCAGAGATTCTCACTTTTCGTTGCATGTAGATGATCTCGAGCTCCCAACCCATGGAAGATGAGAGGTGAGCCGTGTCATCGGCGTAGAGGAATATCTTCACACACTCGGACCTCGGAAGGTCGCTGGTGTAAAGTGAGTAGAGCGTGGGAAGCCCCCCACCCTGTAGCACTCCAGCGATGATCTCCTTGTTATCAGACAGAGAGCTCTCTACTCTAACCTGAAATGTTCTGTCTTTCAGGAAAGATCCAATCTACTGGATCAGGCTCCGAGGCCTTCATGCCATGCAGAAGGCCTTCATGCCATACACAGTCGAGGTCCTTCGAAATATCTAATAAGACGACGTGGTCTTTGCGATTATTATTTAGCTCTGAGATGGTGTTTTCTACACGTCTCAGAACCTGTGATTTAATGGTGTGTTCTCTCCTGATGCTGAATTGTTCGCTAAGTAGAAAATTTCGGTCCTCAACTTCGTTGAACCTTTGCAGAACGACTATTTCAGCCAGCTCAGCCGCCGACGAGAGCAGACTGATCGAGCGATAATTCCGTGAGAACAGCGGGTTCTGACCCTGTTTTGGGATCATGATGACGATTCCATGATTCCACCTGCTGATGAAGTATCTGAAGGCCAACAAACTGTTAACAATGTTCAGTAAAAACTCAATGCAGTCGTCCGGACGCCTTTTTAATCGACCTCCGGAGCTTTTTTGCCCTACTTTCGAAAAAGTTAGGGCAAATTGATATAGGCATATGCAGTGCCTTCTAGATGTTACATAAAAATTAATACGAAATTATTATTTCCTACGTCAAAAAAATTCGGGTAGATCACGTATTCTTCTGAAAAGTTATTTTTGAAGAACGAACAGAAAAATTCAATTTCAACACCCTGTATCTCTGACACGAAGCATTTCCAGACACAAGTTAACATATAGATCAATTAATAAAAAATCACAATGTATTAACAATATGAACTAATCTAATTCTTGCAGGCAAGTAACACCAATAAACAGCCCAAGCTGAAAATTTCAAATAACTAGGTCAAGAATATCGTTTCTGAAGCGGGAAATGGATATATTGAGAACTTGAAGGTTACTCAAGGAGTTAGCTAGGAGTTCTGAGGATAAAGCTGTATGAGTAATTGAATATGTGAAAATAAACATGAAAGGTTTACCACCGCCTAGTTGAACGACTGGAGGCAAGTTGAGATAATTTGGAGAGTATCTCGAGGCTAGTACTCAGTCTGTCCGTTGATAATTTCAAATAGAAGAATTAGGTCTCTGTTTTCGGCATGCCTCGAGAGAAGATATACTTGTATTCAATATGCATCCTTATGTAACATATCTCGGGAATTTGTGCTGTACAACCTCGAGCTCCACTTCATGTGTAACGTAATGGGAGGACCAAACTGAACAACAATAATCGAGATGAGATGTAACCAGGAAAAAATTAAGAGATTTAATGCAGTGATGTCAATGAAATTGTAGGTTCTCGTTATGAAGCCGAGCATCTTAATGGATTTCTGTATTGCAGTGTGAATGTGTGATTTTTAGCTAAGTGTGAAGTCTAGGATTATACCTATATCTTTGGTTTCGAAAGCAGATTCACTGGTAACCACACAGTTTGCTGCCGGATTTTTTTTACTGTTTCTAGGTAATTTGGGTCTGCTGAATACGACAACAGATCACATTTCTGACAAATAGGATAATTTAACGCAGCACTACCTACATATATGTAGTGCTGCTACCCATCAAATAAACGAAACACGAATCAAAAATAAAATGTGTGGCAAAAAAAACTTAACTTTTCATGTAACCTAACCAGTATCGCAGCACAAATCTATTATTCGGCGTCACCTAAAAACTTCCTTTTATGTGATTTTCTTGCAAAGGCTTTGGTCCCTTTGAAGACTCCACCAGTAATCCGCCATCATGTGAGTGTCCCATCTCCCCTGATACCTCTCTTCCAGCGTTTCGATATCTTGGTGGAAGCGTTCCCCTTGTTCCTCACTAAGGTCACCAAGATTTTCTGGAAAACTGTCTAAGTGGTTGTGGAAAGAATTTTAATACTCATNGTCATACTACATTCGAAAGTGATTGGGTGATGTGTTTAATCAAAGCGAAGAATATGTCATTTGGATTCTTTCAAACACATATCATTTAGCGTACACCAGTTAGATAGACAATCTATATCATTTCAGAGAATCATTGTATGGGCCTCACTTTTGATTATTTCAAAATATTTTAAATTGTCAGCAAAAAGCAAAACTTCACTTCCGTAAAAGCAGCGAATTAGATTGTTAATGAAAAAGTTGAACAACAGTGGTTTCAAGTGTGATACTTGTGGAACACCCGATGTAACTGCAATGGTATGAGAATAATAATGGTTAGAAAAAATAATGGTTAACCCTGACAGTTTGCGTTTTTTCCGTAATATAGCTCTTGAGCCACTGCATCGCCCTTGAGCCCATCAACGCCGTATAAACCCAGTTTATGTTCAGAAATTTGGTAGAATGAATATGATCGGAGTTTTCCGGAGTTTTCGTTCGATTTTCGAACGAATCACCCTAGATGTGAATAAACTTTCGAAATTAAATAATTTTCCGAATCTGAAGATACTCCATAGTCAAGAAGCTCGGTCAACACAATGAATCAACATCATTGTATGGAATAAAACTTAGGTATTTTCGCATATTGCTATTCATCACAAAAAGGATTTTTTCAAAAATGTATCAACATACAGCGTATTTAGTTTTCAAATCAAACGTCGACGTAATTTCCAGAAAAATCTTCCACTACATCAAGGAGTGCATTTTTGTGAGCATATCAAAAATAATGAATTTCATAAATAAAAGAAAACAGGGGATCTACCATAAATTTGTGTCATTCAGTATAGGGTATCGCATTCAGAATAATAAAATTGGTATTTTTGTCATAATTACATAATACACTCCGCATTGAAAATAATTGTTGAAAGAGTACGACATTGAAAATACCAAGTGATACAATATTCCGTTATCTTCCATTCATTAGTGTGAAAAAACAATGTTTTTTTAATCACTTATGTCAAGACACATTTTCTCATTCAGTTAGCAAGATCAAAATGGTATTGAGGAATATATCGATGCACCCTTGTATGTATTTTTCAATGTGCTCATCATTTTCTATCAGTTACTTCATCTTTCTTTTCCAGATCAAAGAATACGAACTCAGCGAAGTATTTCACCACGCCGAAGATGATCAACGATACGAAGTTCTCAAAATGGAGCATCTCACTAAAAACACCATCGATGTCTTCAATGGCAACAATGACATCCAAACCGCAATTGAAGAAGAACGCGAAGAACAGGAAGTTCATCACAACAAAGTCAGACCACGACCTAGGCCATTGAAGCAATTCACCCTATCTACCCCTTATTCTACGACGCCATTGAAAAGTTATTACACAACAGACGACAGGATGTCGAACATGATGTGAGTGTTGTTTATTTTTCACTGTCCTTTTACATGAAAAAGAGTTCATTACATCAATGTTTCATCAAGCAAGATTCCTAATGATATACATTCGAAATATCGAAATTGAATCGAAGGTTCTAGCGGAATTTAATAATCTCAAAACGTATTTGAGAACACTGATTCCATTCCTTGTGTTACTGTGTTCAGGAACATCTGAAATATACAAATTTTCATTTTTAAATGGAACTTAATATCGTTCCTGGAAATATCAATTAGACTCCCGAATTTTCAGACTCGAAAAATGATGACGCTTTCTGAGTTTTCAAAAAATAATAGTCACCAAGAAAGAATTTCGAAAATTATTTCATAATCACTTTTTGTAGATATATTCTCAGAGAATTAACCGATTTTGAGGGCATTTGTCTAGATTTTTTAATTACTAGAAATTGTGTTCCCATTAAAAAGTAGGTCGGTTTGGAAATTTCGACAGTTTTTTTCATACCTTTGTAATTTTTTCAAAAAATCAACAGACTATGATGCAAACTGTTGCATTTGATATTTGTTGAAGCGAAGGGCTTGTGCCAGTTTTAATGTTCTCCAAATTTCCTCGATCAACTTGGTTCAAATTTTCAAGAAATGTAACTTTTCTATTCATGATCTCAAATATAGAATTATATTTAATCGAAGATAACAAAAATAACAACATTTTCGTATTCAAGAAAAACTTTATTGTGCGATTTTCAGTCGAGTCGTTGTCAGGTCAGCTGAAACTTCTCTTTGAAAAACCTTATTCCAGATTTGCTAGCTGGATTTTATTCTTCGTCGTTCCCCATCTTTACCTACCCTCTGGCTGACGACTCACATGTAGAATGGTTTCATGAACTGAGGTGAAAAAAATTCAAAGAATAGTTGACCCTTGACCCTGAGGCTATCACTGAAACTCCCGCTATTATTGGACTCGAAAAATAATAGTGATGACTATTTTTTTTCTAATTATATTCATCAAGCGAATAACCTAACTGGGATGTTTGATATTGTTATTGTACCAGAAATAATATTATACAAACATACCGAAAATCCCACTTACTACTATTTCTTCTTCCTGAATTCATATTCATTCTATTCCGCGAACGATGACATTTCACATTTGTCTATCCCGAATTTCATACCGACAGCATGCGTGTACTCTTCCACCACCCCCAAGAACTAATAGAGATCCTTCTCTCCAGAGGCATAAAGTTTAAGATCATCCATATATAACAAATGGGTGACCTCGTGCCTCCGGTTTTCGGGGTTGCCACAGTTATACCCTCGAGTATTTCTGGGCGCAACGGATAATGGCAATAGTGAGATACAGAAGAGAAGGTAACTGAGGGAATCGCCCGGAAATACACCACTTCTGAAGGTGACCCCCCTGTTTGGACTTTGGCTTGACCTGATGTTATGTTGACGCGAGTCCGCCAGAGTGGTATCAGTTGTTCAAGGTATCTCACTATTTTGTAGGGTACCGCAAGGCATCCAGGCAAATACAAGATGAGATCATGCGATGTGGTCGTCTCTGCTCATATATCCGTTAGAACACTCGGTCAACTGCATGTTAACAGTTTGTGATTCTCAGGAATCGACAAATCTCCACTTTTGGGGATGGGAACGGTCCGCTCCTCGACAAACCAATCCGGAATCGGCTGCTCTCCATCCAACCATGAGTTGAAAACTTTGGTCAGATGGTTCGAAGAGCCCTTGGCCAGATGTAATCTGGGGTTATCGGGTTGCGGAGTTCGTTGAGATCAGGCTGTCGAAGCTCTCTGCTGAAAGCTTCGAACTGCGCTAGGGCTGGAGTGTTTAAGTTGAGTGGCTGCAGGTTTTGATAGATGTCCTTTCAGAAGTTCCACCTGCTCAGCGGTTGGTGAATTATATATTCGTCTCGCCAGGAGCTGCAAACTCCACGACAAATATCGTTTTGCGCTGGTGGTCAAGAAGGACTACATCAGGCTTATTATCTATGAGCCTGAGGGTGGGAAACGAATAGTTCCAATAAATTCGGCACTTCTTGTTCCCCACAGCGGATTCAATATCCCCTGGAGCGTAGGGCTCCGTATTATTATTATTATTTCAATTTAAAAAAAATATAACATGATATGAAAACAAAAAAGTGGATTCCCACCAAATATCATTAGAAACAATTCATTTATTTTGGAGAAAACATTGAAAACCGAAAAACCCGGATATTTTCAGGTTAGGTATGTGGCAAAATGGTTCAATCATAACCAATTTCTAGTAGAGATGTTTTATTTTTAAAAATTAACAATAGTATATACATGTATAATTGTCGTACATCGAGTGATTTTGAATATCCAAAGATATAATTAGAGGCGTAGTCATTTTTGTAGTACCTCAGTTTTTTTCAGGTGAATGTGTAACATTCTACTCCAACTGAGTATGGCATAATGGAGCCTAGATTCAGGTGATTGATATCAAGAACGGATCTCATATGAGCTCCTTCATATATTATCCCGAAAAGTCTTGCAAAATCTAATTTTCTTTATTTTCAGAAATAGAAATGTTCAATTTTGCACATTCCCTATTTTGTTTCCAAAATCAGGAATACATATTTTTCTCCAATGCAAAATAAGAGAGTGCGAATTTGCGAATTACAAACATTTGCAATAACATCTAGAACATTATTTTTTCATACCACCGCACTATTAGGTTCAACTAAATCAAAGTTTTGCTACATCATTATATAGGGTCTTCCAACAGGGACTCCCGACTTCAAAAATTGATAACGGCGGCCATCTTGTTGAAGGTACATTTGTCAAATTGGTTGTCATTCAATCAGTCTGCTCACAATGGACGAATATAGAATTCAACAACACATGCAAATAATGAAATTGTTTCATCAAAATGGGTATTCTATTGGAGTAACGTACCGCGAGTAACGAAAACATCGCCTCTGTTTGTGAGAATGTGCAGGATAATCCGAGATAGTCGATTTCACGTCGCTCATAAGAACTTGACCTTTCGCAGACCACAACTTGGCGAATTTCACGTCGTGACTTGTGCCTACACCTGTACAAAATTCAAGTAACCCAGGAATTGAACGTAAACGACCATAGAAAACGATGTGTGTTCGCTGAATGGGCTCTGGATCAGTTGGCAACTGACACTAATTTTCATCGAAAAATCATCTTCAGCGATGAGGCTGTATGGGTACGTGAATAAACAAAGTTGTCGAATTTGGAACAATCCACATGAGACACAAGAGCGCCTAATGCATGCCGAAAAAGTCACTGTTTGGTGTGAATTTTTGGCTGACGGCGTCATCGGTCTATATTTCTTTGAGAACGACGTTGGCCCAGCCATCACTGTCAACGGCGAGCACTATAGTTCGATGATGATCACCAACTTCTTTTGGCATGAATTGGATGATCTGGACACCAACGACGTTGCGGTGTCAAAACTCATGCCACATTGAATATTCTGCACGAGCCATTTGAGACCAACATAACCCATGCCATCGGTCAAATTCAGCCCCTAAGTCATGAAAAATTGGACGTTTTGAATGCACACTACCCTTAGATATCTTTAACACACTTTATTTTATTTAAATTTAAAGATAGAATGCCCTCATTGGAAAACCCTATACATATGTCGTTAACATCTAAAAAACTCCTTGAACTAAAACGTATCAGTTATAAATGAAAGAGGATCCAAAACGAATTCCTATGATTCCAGATACATCTTTTGTATCTGTATCGTCTATTTTCATGCTTTCTGAGCACTTTGTGATATAAGAGTACTGAACAATATGCATGTCTAACAGTATCAAATACTTTGTTAAAATCAAACTATTGCTGCATATTGGGAGTTATCATTCGTCTAAAATATATCATAAGTTACAATATGAATAAGTACTGTAGAGAAAATATGTTCTGTAGAGAAATTAAGGTAAACCAGCTGACATTTTGTGAAGATGGAAAAAGTTGTCTTTATCCCAGACTATCCCAGTTTATATCCCAACTGAACCATCTTATGAATTCCACTGATGATTATGGGTACTTAATTCCAATTGCCCAAGAAATTTAAGAAGTCAAAAAAAATACATACCTGATCAATCAAAATGTAAATAATGATTTTCTATGCACGCAAAATGCTTCAGAGCGAACTGGAGCACGCATAAATTTACCAACTGGGAGGAAAAGTACAACCAAAACGCAATGTGCCAATATCAAAACTACCCTCTCTTCATTATTATTCAATATCCAATCAGTAAGAAACAAAACTTATGAAGTTTTGATTTTTCTTGAATCATAGAATATACCAGATTTCGTTTTTCTCACTGAACACTGGCTAAGAGAGGATGAACCATGATATATTCCAAATTATGTCATTGTAGCCAAATATTGCAGAACTATGGTGGAACTATGATTCTAGTGAATGATAAAATACTCAATGATCCTATTTTAGTAAACATTGATAAGTGTGACTTTACTTTCTTTCAGTAGAAAATAAACTTGAATTCTCTTTGGTGCATGAAAAAAATAACAATACCTATATAATTTGCATTTATCGAACTTTTCAAATAAACTTAACATTCTTTTATCAAACCTACCAATTAACTCAAACATTGTACTCACAGGTAACTTTAATATAAATTACGACGATGAAGAGTTTATGGTAAAGCAGGATCTACATAACTTAATGACCTCTCTAAACTTGATCGTGCATGTTAGTGAACATACAATAATAACCATGTATTCAGCCACTATCATTGACTATATCTACTCAAATTTGGAAAAACAAAATATTAGCTGTAAGACTGTTCCCGCAGGCGTTTCAGACCATAAACGTTTTGAACTTTGATGATTCAAATTCAAGTCAATATGTTTCGCGAGCTGTCAAAACAATAAAGAATAAGTTGAATATTCAATATTGTCAATCAATTAATGAATATGTTCGACATGGAAACGAAAAGGAATCATATTTCAGTTGGAAAACGTATGACAAAGTGATCTGAC